CTCAGTTACCCAAATTTAAGAGTTCTGCCCAACTCCCAAAACCAAAAGAGATGACAGCACTTGGTGGTAAACTGGGGGAGGGAGCGGGAGGGGGGTGGGGGGATAGGAAGTGGTGTGCCCTAGAAAAGAGGGTGGGAATGGAGGCTTCAAAACCTCAGGCTCACACCTGAAGTGGACCTGATCCCAAAGGACGCTTTAAGGCCTCTCCCTCACCATCCCCCCTTGTCCACTCAGCCCTAACCCCCTCTGGGGCTGAAGTACTCCCTTCCCATCCACCCTCTTAGCACTAAAGGGGTGGAACAGCATGACATTTTGTTTCTCAGAAAAAGATCAGGTCAAATTTCAAGGACAAAAATTTGCACTTGGTCTGGGAAAGAAAACTCTGCCAAATGGAGTAAATTGGGGGTCGGGGAGGGGAGGGAGGTCCAGTGCTATCGTTCCAGGTGCCTCGGTGCGGGCAAGAATTAGAGCTCTAATTCCCCCTCCCGGGATCCTTCTGGCAAGATACAGGCATCTCCACCCCACAATCCAGGAGAAGAAACTCAGACAACCCCCTCCATTTCCCTCTGTCCAAAAACAGAGGGAGTGGGCTTTGGTACTAGTCTGTGGGACCCATCTACCATACCACCCCAGCCACCAGATGTGGCCTGAACGGAAGAGGGCGGTGCAGTGAAGGGCTCTGCAGCCCAGAGATGTGGCCCTAACCGCTAAGAGAAGGACCGGTAGCCGGCCTGGTGTTGCCATGGCAACTTCCTCCTGTGCTGGATCGAAGCATCCTATGGGCAAATCAGAGCTGGCTGCTCCGGCTTCTCCGCCCTTCTCCCAGACCAGGGAGAATTGGATGCTGAAACCACTTGGTCAGACTCGGGGACACCATCATCAATTCCAGACACTGATATTAACAACTCCCTTTGGCATTTGTTGGAAAGTGGAGACACCCTTGCTCCCCAGCCATGCCCCAGTGCACCACAGCAGGGGTAGGACTATAGATGTGATGAAAATTAACTGTTCAGGAAGAACAGGGAAACAGGGAGTTGGACTGCTCCCCACCCTCTTGTTCCACATGCAAGCCCCCCAAATCCCCGTCTTTAAACCCCTGCCAAAAAAAGAGCATCCAACGCTGCCTTAACAGCTACAACAATGCAACAAAATTAGCTTCTAAAAATTATAAAAGCTAACATTTTGAGAATCCCACAGATTCTTTTTTACAGTCATGCTCAAAAACAAGTCTTATTTGATAATTACATGATAGCTAACTGTTACTGAGAGCCCACCTCGTGCCAGATACTGTACTAAGCCCTTTGCAGACCACAAACAATATAATAACCGAAAGCAGAGATGTTTCAGTCAGATACCTCAAGTTCAAATCCTAACTCCCTCACTTCTGGCTGAGTGACCTTGAATGAATATTCTCTGTGCCTCAGTTTTCTTATCTGAAAATGGGGATGTTAAATGTTAATTTTATAGGGTTGCCATGAGGAAAGAATTAATATCTTTAAAATACCTAAGAGGATGCCTTTCGAAAGGTAATCATTTTAAAAATGTTCACCCTATGCAGGTCATCCTATGTGGTCCACGCTATTATTTTCTTCCTCATCCAGATGAAAAAGCTGAGGTCACGTATCTAACTCCCCAGTTACAAAGCCAGTGCCAACAAGGCTGAGCAATGATGACACCTACCCAATTATGCCCCCAGGTCATGTCTCTCTAAAGTCCCCAGCATCTTTGGAAAAGGGACAAAGGCAGCATAAGAAATGAGTTCAGAGCGCAAAGAGAGGGAAGATGCTCCTTGGGAGGAATTCTAGGAGCCTACAGTGACCAGCATCCTGAGCCTCGGGGAGGGGGGGGAGGAAAGAGCAGCTTCCCATGCTCACAAAACGTCCAAGGCTCCCAAGCCCAATACAGGAAAATACTCTGGCCCAGTTAAGACTAATGAGATAGGCTTCTCACAGTTTCTCAGGAAACCAGCTGAAGGGGCAGGTAAAGCCCTCAGATGGCTCTGGCTCAACCTGGGTGATGGACAAGATGCATTCCACAGGATTTGGAAGCAGCATCAAAGAGGAGGCACCTAGACGAGCCAGAAGCCATCGGGGACACACCTCTGAGCCATCAGACAGCCTGGCATTAATGGGCCAGGGGAGGGATCGGGGAAGAGGAAGGCGGAGCGAAGCCAGGTCTAGCAGCCCTCCTACTGAAGCAGTCTCTGTCCAGTATGTGACAGATTATTCAAACTGCTTTTAGAAATTAGTTCAGGGGCGCCTGGGTGGCTCAGTGGGTTAAGCCTCTGCCTTCGGCTCAGGTCATGATCTCAGGGTCCTGGGATCGAGCCCCGCATCAGGCTCTCGGCTCAGCAGGGAGCCTGCTTCCCCCTCTCTTTCTGCCTGCCTCCTCTCTGCTTACTTGTGATTTCTCTCTCTGTCAAATAAATAAATAAAATCTTAAAAAAAAAAAAAAAGAAAGAAATTAGTTCAGCACGGGGCTGTTCTAAAAGAATAAATCCAAAAGGCTTTTTTAGGAGAAAATTAATGACTTTGAGAAGAACAAGAGAAATTAAGCACCAAGACAACGTTTCTTACTTCCGATTTTTCCCAGACACTTCATTAGTCTCCTGGAAATGAAACTTGACTATCTCCCTCCCCCTCCCAAACTCAAAGCATCCCTTAAGATGAGCAGACAATGAGCACAAGATGCCCACAGCAAACTCTTGGCTGTCAGCCCTTCCCTGGGGCCCCTCACCTGGGATCCGTTTTCCACACAGTAAGATTTGGCTTTTGAAAAAATCCTCTTTCAGACAGAAGGTTAGTAGTTTACTGGAAAGAGAACTAGAAACCTGATTTTAGTCTCAGCTCTGTGCCTACTTCATTGGGTGACCTTGGGTTACACACACACACACACACACACACACACACACACACACACACCCATATTCATCTGAGGGCAAAAAGGGGTTGGACAGGATGATTTCTAGGTCTCTTTCAAGTGCAAAAACAAGAATTTGAAGAAACTTGTTAGAAAAAACATCAGGTGGGTCTTCAAAAAAAAAAAAAATACTACTACATGAAGTTCTCTATTCTGACTTCATTGCCTGCAACCAGCAATGATAACCTGATCCAGGACACCGAGCATGACTTAGGAGAAAAAAAAACCAACGGTCCCTGCTCCTACAAACCCATGCTCCTGCCCCACCGGCCTCCTGAGACCCAAGTGGCCTGCTGAGCTTCAGGAGAGTCCCTAACCATTAGGCAAAGGGAGGAAGAGTCAGCTCACCTGTGCTGGTGGGGGTCCCTCTCCCAGCCCTCAGGCTAACCTGATTTCCTCCACCAGGCCTCCCCACTTCCTCTCATTTTGCCCTGTCCAGAATAGTGACCTCCCCCAGCTACATCAAGCTCATCAGTGCTCTGAGCCTCACTTACTTTTTCCATAAAATGGTGATTCCGTAAAATGGCTTTGCAATAACCATCTTTAACCCACCCCCAACTCTAGGTCTGTCGGGAGTCTGCCTCACGTACCCCTCATTCATTCACTGGGCCAACAAAGTCTTCTGGAGAATCTTGCCCCCCACCTGCCTGCAGCCTGCTCCGGCAGGAAGAGGTGGACACCCATTACCCACCACGTCATCCCATGTCTCACCAGATAACTTGGGAGACCAGACAAGGGTCCCTGCAGGCAGAGTCTTAAGCAGGACCCATAAATTCCCTAAAACTGCAGACCAAAATTTTGAGGATGGTTCATATGTGTATGTTTGGAAGAGATAGTCTATATTTTCATCAGGTTCTCAAAAGTGTCCGTGAAGCCATTTTGCTCCTCCCCACCACAAACGCCCCTCTCTGTTTTGTCCTCTCACTGAACTCAAATACTCTCAGATGTTCAGCTTCTGTTATATCAGATTTTCAGAAAACACTTTTAACTGCATCATGTGTCTTAGGCGCTGTTGTCCCATTTTACAGATGAGGATTTGAGGCTACGGGTGACATGACTTGCCCAAGGTCACAGCTAGTAAGTAAAGCAAGACTGGAACCTGGTTCTGACTCCCAATTTGCCGCTCCTTAGGGAACTCTCACCCAAGCCCTCTAGCTACCCCACCTGTTGGTGGATTGGCTTCCTCACCACAGAAATCTACCTGGAGCCCTCAGGTTCCCTCTGCCTGGTTCCAGGGCCCCAAAGAGCAGGTTTCCCTACATTTCCCCGCCCCTCGGGCTCTGGCTGAGGCTGCGCGCAGGCCTGGGAGCGCGAGGTTTGGGCCGCTAGATGGTGGCCGGGTTCAGCCCACCGAGAAGGGCTACTCCAGCGACAAGAGCACCCAAGGTCCGGGCACATTCCGGGCGGTGCGCAGGTGAGGAGTTGGCGCCGCCCTACGCCTCCCTCTGGGACCAGAGGGGAGGAAAGGCCGCACCCGGCCAGTCTCCCCGTGGTCCGCCCCAGTCTGATAGGAACCAGGAGTCTGGAGCCCCAGCCTCCGGGGGAAGGGGAAGAGAGCCAAATGAGGACGCTCAAGGCCTTGGGCTCAGGGCGGGGGGTCTTGGGGGAGCCTCTGGATGCAGGCAAGACAAAGATGGAGAGGTAAGGTCTGCGCGCCACCTCCAGCGGCGGGGTGCGCGTCGGCGCCCCAGGGGTGAGGCGGCCAAAGCCCCGGGGCTCGAGGTGTGGGCGCGACAGGAGGGAGTCTGAGGGAGGGTGGCAGGTCGGATCTAGGAACAAGACAGGGGGCATCCAGCAGGCTCAGGTGAGTAAACAGAGCTGGTCCAGACGACCCTAAGGGGCCCACCTGCGGGAAAGGGACGAATGCAGAGGGCCTAGGGGTTCCTGGGGGCGGCTGGAGGCTGGAAGGCAGACCTTGGGGCCCCGTGGGTGGGGGCGTATCCCGAGCAGGGCTGTGGGTAGGGAGGAGAGAGCGGGCCCCTCTCGGAGTGCACCGGGTCGGGCAGGGGTCCTCCGCCCTGGTTCCCGGGACCCCCCCCCCACACACCCCAACCGGGGATGGGGGCGGGCCGCGCGCTTACCCGCGTCCTCGTCGTCGAAGGAGTTCATGCACGGGAAGTAGATGGCGAGCGCCTCGAAGGAAGCGGACAGGCTGAGGCGGCTCTGCGAGCGCTCCATGCCCGCGCCGGCGCCGGGCGCCTCGGCCGCGCCGGCGGCAGCCGCGGCGGCGGGCGGCTTGGGCAGCTTGGCCGCCCCTTCTTGACGCGGAGTACGGCGCGCGGCGTGGTGGCGGCGGCCCGGGGCTAGGCCGGGGCTCCGCGGCGGGGCTGGCGGGCGCGGCGGGGCCGGCGGGCTGCGGGCGGGCCGGGAGCGGGCGGCGCGCGGAGCCCGAAGCGCGATGTGCTCCCGGCGGCGGTGGCGGCGGCGGCGGCGGCGGCGGCGGCGGCGGTGGTGGCAGCGGTGGTGGTGGTGGCGGCGGCGGCGGCGGAGGTGGCGGCGCAGCGCTCTGGCCCGCGGCGCCCCCAGCCGGCCGCGCGGGGCGGGCTCGGAGCCGCAGCCGCAGCCAATCGGCGCCGCCCGGGGGAGGGGGCGCCGCGCGCGGGGGCGTGGGAGCCGGGAGGGCGCGGGCGGGGCGCCTTCTCACTGCCCCCAGCCCCGCAGGTGTGCGCGCCCGGTGGGAGGAGCGGGCCGAGCGGGTTGCTCCCTGGTCCCCGGGCCGTGCCCCCGGCTCTGTCCGGACCCCACGCTCAGCCCTCAGACTCGCCCCGGATGCAGGCGGCCAGGCACCGACCGAGACAGGCCTCACCCGGGGACGCAGACAGGCTCAGAAGGGACACACTCAGAGCGACCAGCGCGCGGCACTCAGCCTCCCACTCAGAGACCCTCAGATTCCACGTGAACCCTCAGGGGAGCTCAGATAGGCTCCCACACGAGTGCATTCTCTCTGCAAGACACCCTCAGACTCACAACACCCGGAGAGATGCACCCACAAAGTCACTCACTCATAGAGACATTTGCTGAATCCATCCCCTGACACCCTCTGACAGTCTCCAGAGACCCACACAGGTACCTACACCTGTGGACACCCTCAGACTCTCACACAAGATCCACGGAGGTAGATACACCCACACACTCACACTTACTCTCAAGGAGAACTGCAGAGGCACTCAGAGTGAAAACCAGGGACCCCCCCCCCCACTGCCCCACTCCCTGCCATACAGGGAGACCTTCAGATCCCACACGAACCCACAGAGAAGTTCAGACAGGCACACACACACTCACGCACCCACACTACTCACAGACATCCTAAAATTCACACACAGACACACACACTCCGATGACGCACTCTGAGATCTGCACACAGAGACACTCAGTGCCCCCGACCGCTGACTCCCTGAGCACTGATTCACTCATACACACAAATGCTAGCAAACACTGGCCAACTCATACACGGTTATCTTCAGACCCAGACCCAGAGAGTCACTCAAACACACTTCAATGGGCACACGTGCTCACACCCAGACACAGACATACAGCCTCAGTCACTCCCAGTGGTGGATCCATTCCCTCAGACGCACACACAATGAGACACACTCTGCCAGGATCACATGCTCACACAGACACACCCACATATCTGCCTCCAGGACCCACAATCTTCAGACACACACACAAACACACACACACGGTTTCAGACACTCAAAACCCCCAGGATGAACACAATCACAGTCAGAAACCCGAACTCCATTCTCTAACCTAGGGCCTGAGGTCCCCATCCAGCCAACCCTCAGATGTCTAACCTCTGCCAGCTGCTCTCACACACTCTTTACAAAGCGGCCCGGGGAGATGGCAAGATCCCAGAGTTTCAATCCCAGCTGTGACGCTACCCTTCTGTGTGGCCTAGAGCAAAGCCCTTCACCTCACTGATGTGCTCTGTCATCTGTACGATGGGGAGACCCTCTATTTGGGATGGCTGTGAGGATTAAGATAACACGTGCATTAGTTTTCTGTTGCTGCATGACAAACAAAGAGGCTTGACAACATCCGTGTATTAGTGGACAGTCATGTAGGTGAGAAATCCTAGCAGTTTGGGCAGAATTTTTCCCTTGGGGTCTCACAATGTATCAGCCAGATGGGCTCTTGTCTGGAGGCTCTGCAGAAGAATCTGCTTGTGGGGCACCCGGGTGACTCAGTAGGTTAAAGCCTCAGGTCATGATCCCAGGGTCCTGGGACTGAGCCCCACACGGGTTCTCTGCTCAGCAGGGAGCCTGCTCCCCCCTCCCCCGCCTCTTGCCTGCCTCTCTACCTACTTGTGATCTCTGTCTGTCAAATAAATAAATAAAATCTTTAGAAAAAAAGAATCTGCTTGTAAGCTCATTACAATTGTAATGTAAGGTCATTAGCCGCCTGCAGTTTCTTGTAGCTGAGGGACAAGGCCCCTGTTTCCTTGCTGGCCTTTTGCTGGGGAGTTGCTGTAGAGTTGCCCTTAACTCCTAGAAATGGCCCTCTGGTTCTTGCTTATAGCCTCCTCCATCTTCAAGGTCAGTATCAGGATATCAAAAACGGAAATCAGAGGGGGCTGCTCCTTTGCCAAAAACCCTTCCATGGTCTCATTTCACTTAGGGGTAATAGTCCAAGTTGGACATGGTCCTAAGTCCTTTGGCTCTGCTCCCTCTCTGGCCTACCTCTTACCACTCCTCTGGCTCACTCAGCTCCAGACCCACTGTCCTGACCTTGCTGTTCCCTCTGGCTGAAACAGTTTTCCCTCCAGAGAGCTGTGTGGCTCATTCTCACAGACCTGTGCTCAAACATCACTTTCTTCATAAAGTCTTCCCTCACCACCCTTTGTAAAGTAGCGATACCCCTCCCTGAAATGCCTAGTCCTCCTTACTCTGCCTTATTTTTCTCTCTAGCCCTTATCACTATCTGACATATCATATGTATATGTATATGGCATTATACATATTTTTTCATGCTTATTTGCTTATTGTCTCTCTCTCCTACCCAGAGCCTAGAAGAATACCTATAGCAAAAAGCAGGTGCTCAGTAGATCGTTGATTGGATGAATACCTTCCCACCAAGCTGACAGATGAAGAACAGAGACTTTCAGAGGGGAAATGACACACTCAAGGTGACAGAGAGCAGGGAATGCCAGTGCTCCAGCCACTGCCCTGCTGGCCATCTAAGACCGTAGCAGAAGGAAGACAGGCCAGAGGGAGAGCAGCACTCCGAGGCCTAGAGAAGGGACAGGACAACAGAGAGGCCAGGAAAGGCTGGCCTGGAGCTGGAGAAGGAGTCTCGGGGACCCATGAAGCATGTCTGTTGGACCAGCAGTGAGACTCCCAGGAAACACACCTAAATGTTGAAAGTAGACATGTGTGCTGGTTCAGCCTGCAGACCCCGCTTGGAGGCTCAGATTCTAGCTTTTCCACTTATCATCTGAGTTGCTGTGGTGGTTTTAAAGCCTGTGTGCTCATCCTTTGACCGCTCTCCCACTGAACAGTAGGGTCTTTGTCCCCTCCACTTAAGTCTGGGTCAACCTTAGTGACTGGGTTGTAACCAGTAGAATGCAGTAAGCGACATGCATGACTTCCAAAGCTAGGTCAGGAAGTTTCCTGCAGTTTCTTCCTGGCTTGCTTGGGTTGCACACTCTGGGGGATGCCAGCGTCCACATAAGGACCTTGACTACCCTGAGCCACTCTTGTTAGAGAGGCCACAGTGGGTCCAGCTGAGCCCCCAGACAACAGCCAACAACAATCTCCCAGGCTTGTGAGTGAGTGATCTCGGGTGTCTAACTTTGATGCAGCCCCAACTGACGTCTGATGGCAGCTGCATGACGGACACACAAGCAGGAGCTGCTCCGCTGAGCCCTTCCCAAATTCCTGGGCCACAGCATAAATGGTGGTCGTTTGACACCCTAAGTCTGGGCATAATATTGTAGGCCATGATGGAATCATGACCTTGAGCGAGCAAATGAACTTCTTCCAGGCCTGTTTCTTCAGTTGTAAAATGGGGACAATGCCTCCCAGTGTGAGTGTCATCACAGAGTGAGTTATAAATGTGGAGTTCTTAGAACAGTGCCCAAACACAGTGCGTGTTCTGCAAGTGTGAGCTTGGGATCGGACAGCCCCATCTGTCAGAGGCAGACGTCCAGAGCTGGGAGGAATCGGAAAGGTCGTCCAATGTGTCCCTCCGCTGGGAGAGAGGGAAACTGAGGCCCAGAAAGTGCAAGGGACTTCCTAAACTGCATAGCCTATGGGTGCAGAGCTGTTACCACAACAGAAGTGTCCTGAGCTGGCCCGATGCTCTTCCTGCTGTGCTCCAGGTTGTGTCTCACCCGGCAAGAGAGGCAGGGGGCCCCTGGGGTGAATGCAGACAAAGCTGGCAGTGTCAAGGAGGAGAGGCAGCCAACGGAAACAGACTTGGCCTCTGGCCAGCAATATAGGCAGTGGACTCCTGGTGTGAATTCTCCTTTCTTGGTTAGCTCATGCCTAAAATTCCCCCAGTAAGGTTTGGCCCTGTAAGCTTAAATCTTTGATCCCTTGTAAATAGATCATTTTTCCCATGGGAAATCTAAGTTGTCCACTACTCGTACCTGCATATGAATCATGTGTTCTAAGAACAAGTTTGATGGTGGGAAGGCTCGAGATGGTGGGTGGGGGAAGTGGTGAGTCTGGAACAGGGAACAGTGGGGAGTCGGGAACAAACTGGTGGTGTGGGCTTCACAGCCTAGGGAGAGGGAGGATGCCAAGGGCCAGACAGCTCAGTAGATCAGAGCTGAAGAAGGACTGCCTGCCTTGAATATAAGTGCCTATCCTTAGTTTAGCTGTGTGACCTTGGGCAAGTCCCCTCAGGGTTCCCATCAAAAAACGAGCATAATTCGCATTCACTTTGCCAAGTCATGGTGAAGATGGGATGTAAATTTACTGCCAGGCAGATCGTAGGTACTTAATAGACACGTTCATTGAGTAATTTGCAGGGTCCACCCAGTCTCGTCGTTGTACTCAGCCCTAAATGCACACAGAGGAATAAAACAGACCTGGTCCCTGAATTCATGGCACTTATAAACTGGCAACATTAAACATATAATTATGCCAATAATTATTTAATTATAACATGATATACTCGCTCTATTGTAATAATAATTTCAATTACAATTGTGATGAGTGTCAGGCAAGACA